AAAAAAAAAAAAAAAGATCTTCATCTTATAATATAAAGCACCTTGAGGCGACTGCTGTTGTGTTTTGGTGTTGTGGGTCCACAGAGGTTGAAACACATATATTTAATTTTTCCGATTTTAATGGATTAAAAAAAGTTGGATATCATCTGCATAGCAGTGAAAATATGTGCTATCACAGGGGCAGTATCATAATTAATGAGGAACTCCATAATTAACCTTAGTGTGTGAAGAGAACTCGTATTTACAGTCTATTAGATATGATTCAAACCGCTGCAGCGCCGTACCTACCTACAGCATGCTCTGACTATAATATTCTAATAATAATAGAATATTATAGTCAACAGTATCAAACGCTGCACTGAGGTCTACCAGGACAAACACAGAGATGAGTCCACTGTCAGAGGACATGAGAAGATAATGTATAACCTTCACTAAAGCGGTTTCTGTAGCAGGACAGCAGAGTGAAGACTTTTTTAAAGTACATGATATGTCATTTATATCACCAAGTAGAACTTGAGTCATGACTCGACTGATGATTCCTACCAAACTCTTCATTAAGTGGTTTGCAGGACGTTCTTCAGTACAAACTCAACTGATAATTTTGCGACTAAACGTTAAAACCACGAATTTTCTCTTTGGACTTCAGTGCCCTTTCATTTGAGTCAGATGTCGTGCCTCTCCAACACAAACCAAACAAATAGGTTCTCATTTATAAACAGGATTTATGGCACTTCCCACTCCCATTTCTAAAATCTTGATGTGATTGTGACGTGACCTTTCTACAAAACTGACTTTTCTTCTCCACATCTGGATGCCTACAATTTAGCACATCCTTGTCCTGACCATAAAGGGCCATGTTCACGTTATATTAAAAAAGAAAAAGAAAAATTAAACCAGATTGATCAAAGCCTCAATTTCAAACAATATCGCAACATTCATTTGGACAGCAGCAGATTTGTTGAGTTTAATTTTAATTAAATAATCGCAAGTTCACAACAACAGTCAACCAAAGGCGCTTTGACCCGACAATAATAAATCTGATTGTTGCACACACTACAAGTCCTGCAGTAACACTTGTGCATGCAGACCTTTTTCTTGAACATTTAAAGCTGAATGTGAGAGTTTGCCAGTGAATACATTTATATGATCCACATAAATGTCCTTCCTGGTGGTTTATTAAAAGGAACACTGCATCTGGAAAAAAGTGGATATGAGGATGTACTTTTTTGTTCACACCTGTCAGATTCATGCGAAACATATTTCCACCTGCACTTTTTAATAAATAGGACATCAAGCTTTGTAGGAGATGCATTCACAGCTCCTGGTAAAAAGACAAACTGTTACGCTCCTATCAAAACTCGCCACTTTTTATAAGCCTGTTTTGATTTGGTTGTAGAACAAAGAAACATTCTCGCTCATTGTATCCTCTTCATTGTAAATGATTGTATGTTTTATCAGTTCCATCTCCAGCAACAGCTGATCAGTCTGAGAAGGCCATTGTGCGTCACAATGTGTTTGCTGACTCATCATTTTCTACTTTTGCCTGAATGTGACTCTGCAGACCCAGGCGGATGACTCTCTGCTGTGTGCAGCTTCATGTGTCTCTTTAGATGTCCCGTAACAGTGAAACGTTTCTCACAAACAGAGCAGCTGAATGGTTTTTCTCCTGTGTGAATCCTCATGTGGATCTTCAGGCTCCCCTTTTGGGCACAGCTTTTCCCACAAATATTACAGCTGAATGGTTTCTCTCCTGTGTGGACTCTCATGTGTTTGGTTAGGTCTCCTTTTTCTGCGCAGCACTTTCCACAGAAAGGACAGCTGAAAGGTTTCTCTCCTGTGTGAACTCTCATGTGCTTCTTTAGGTCTGTTTTCTGAGCACAGCCTTTCCCACAGACAGAGCAGCTGAAAGGTTTCTCCCCTGTGTGGTACTTCATGTGTCTGTTGAGATGTTCTTTAACATGAAAACTTTTATTGCACACTGAGCAGGTGAACGGTTTCTCTCCTGTGTGGATCCTCATGTGTCTGGTCATGTTTCCCCTCCCACTGAAATTTTTCCCACAAAACAAGCAGCTGTATGGTTGCTCCCCAGTGTGACATCGCATGTGTGCCGTTAAGGAGCCACTGTCTTTAAATGACTTATCACAGTCTGTGCAGGGAAATGGTCTCTCTCCTGTGTGGTCTCTTATGTGTCTGTTCAAATTTCCCTTAAGGCTAAATCTTTTCCCACAATATGAGCAGGGAAATGGTCTCTCCTTGACTACAGTGCCAACATCAATGTCAGGATTTTTAACATCTCTACCTGACTGGGCTTCCTTTGTTTGTGTCCAGTCACAGTCACTGTCATCAGTTTCAGTCGAGTCCAGAGAGTTGTCTTCACTAACAGGCTGTAACAGTGGATCTGGATCTGAGTTCCTGTCTGCTTCTGGTCCTCCCTCCGAGCCTCTGCTCTCCTCAGTCCAGCAGTGATGAAGTTGTGAGGACTCAGGCTTCTCCTCATCATCTTCACTCTTCACGTGCACAGGGCTGAATGTGAACGTGGTGATTTCAGCTACCTGCAGGTCCTGAAGCTGTTCTCCTGTCTGACTGGCCCAGGCTTCTTCCTCTTCCTCTTTAATCTGTGGGGGCACTGGGTCTTCCCCCGGGTCCAGGCTGGAGCTCTTCTCCTGGTGTTCACGGGAAACTTCATCTTTGCTCCCCAACGGCTGCTGAACATCTGAAGGAAACACTGAAACAGACACAAAATGTGATCTCAGTTCTCTTTCAATCCTAGCAGAAATATGTTGTACTATCATATATGTTATAATGTCCACTACAGATTACAGATTGTTATGCAGAAGAAGCAGCTCGGGGTCAATTTGTGACACCATCATAGGCACATGACTAACCGGGATGCCAAGAGCTAGAAGCACACTTTCTTAACCCTGTACACTTAAACCTATCTCTGTTTTGGAGAAAGTAAGAGAGCAGAGGGAACAGAATGAGAATATATTTGATCTGTGTGATTATTTAACTTTACAATGTGGTGCCAAATCACATAAAGTTGACTCAGAGTGCTTTATTTTACAAAAGGTAAAGATCCTACACTGTTAAAGAGGAAATCAGGGGCTCAGGGAGGGGCGGACATCTGCCATGAACAGCTGGGTGTGAGGAGAAATCAGAATCAGAAAGACTTTATTTATCCCCAGGGGGCAATTACGACACAACAGAGCAGCATGACGTTGAAGATAAAACAAGAAAGAGAAAAGATGTGAGCACAGCCAGTGAGGACTTCGACCTTTCTGGGGCAAATAACTAAATATGTAATTTGTGGCATATGTGAAATTGGATTAATAATCAGCTGCCTTTCTCGGAGTCTTTCCTTCGTGTTTTTCTGGTCAGTGCTCAGTGCAGCAGCTTATGAACCAGGTCCTCGCCTGCTGCAGACTGGTCTAATGGAACTATCACCAGATGTGGTCCATCACAGAGAAGATTATCTAACTAGCTGATAGCAGGACCACAGA